AATCTTAGAACTTTTGTTTTCTAAAAATGTAATAAAGTTTCTACTCTGATATTATGGAATAATAAAAAAAAAAAAAATATCACTGGTTTGCAATATCAATACCTCCTATATAGTGGTTATAATTATTAACAATTTTAGGAATTAATAATTGTTTTCATAAAGAATTGCTAAAAATTTTTTGAACTTTTTTAGTATTTGAGCTAGTTTCATATAGATGCCAATATAAATATTAAACCTAATATTTATCACCAGTAATTTTATAAACAGTATTTAACATAGTAACTAAACTATTATTGATCCAAAGTATAGCTAGTACATCATTTATAATCACTTCTAATAATAAATCTTATTCTAAAGATTTAATATTTTGTACTTTTAATTTAGTTAGAAATTTTGCAAAATTTGTACAAACTGTCCTACATGCACCAATACCTTTAGTTCGCAGATATTGAAATAATAAAATTAATGTAAAAAGTTATCTATATATATTACAAAACTATGTATTGCAAGTAAAATTTGAAGAGCTAAATAACAAACATGATAGCCTATTTCATTAATACCTTGAATGTTTGGTAAATTTGATGCTTTTTCAATATATAATGAAAAAAAAAAATCTATATATATTCTAAGTTACATAAAGATAAAATTTTGTACTCTTCAGGAGTAGGTTTATTTTTCATACACAAAGTATATATACTTTTTTCTAAAAAACAAATAATCATTTCGTCTATAAATATATTCGTATTTGGAATATATAAACTTTTACATATTTCTTGAATAGATGATACAAGAAATTCAATTTTTGAATACTATAGTGGATAAGATTCAACAAGATCAGATATATGATATAACACTTTATTTGCTTGAATCTTATTAATGCCATTAGATCTGCAATATAATATATTGATTTTTGATTATTTTTATTCTAAAAGAACTTATGGAATGAAATTCTATGAGTACTTATATATATAATGATAGCAAGCCAGATATGAAATTCATTAATATTTAGAGTTTCTATGATCGCTTTGTGCCTGCTAGATTTTGAATAGCATAGTATTTGTTGGTTAATTCAACTATTTGCTTAAGAGAATCAGCTGTAAAGAACTCATAAAATAACATTAATGGTGTAATTTTTTTAATTAAATAAAAATGGCTAGAAAGTATAGGATATCCATTTTCACAAAATGAATACTTGTATTGTAAAAATACAAAGTTTGATAGTTCTTGAGTATTTACTTGTTGACTGACTTTTTTAGCAAGAGTATTACTATCATGATTATTTCTACTTACTCTGGGTCTACATAACCTCCCACTGCCATGTTTTTGACCTCTACTAGAGAAACTTTCTTGATAATTTGATGATATTTCTGAGCCTATATCCATGGGCAATAAATTGCTTTTATTGTCATCTAATGTCAAATTTTCAAATTCCATTAAACAATTGCTTAATAAATGCTCATCACAATTACTCCATAAAAAAATACTTCAAACTCATTTTTGCTAAATTCTGATAATTCTGATGATTCTGAAATATTATCTGATTCAATTTCTTGCTCATGCCAGTCTGTAAAATTGGGATTCATTGTAATAACAACTAATAACTATATATTTAAGACGATTTAACTAGAAGTATGTGCCATTATTATTTTGTTAATACTGAACAAAGCAAAAAGAATCCTCTCTTATATAACATCTAATAATGGTCATATATCGATTAATTATTCAAAAATACTAATAAACCTGAGATATTTTATTTCTAACAATAAGATGATTTATTAGTTTTTTAATTACTTGTTGCTAACGTTAATAATTTATCGCTGATTTTATTAATCTAATAAACATAACATCTTAATTTTCTGTCGCCAATCATAATTTTTAGTTTATTGATATATCTGATAATTTTTTATTAATATATCTGATAATTTGTTAAGTTCCGATTATTATTATTACGTAATATTCACACATCAGACATTTTGTACACTTGAGGTGGTACAAGAACGTTATTTCTTAAGGGCCCCAAAAAAGTAAGCGAAGAAATAAAAGAATAGAGAGACTGTGTGTTAAAAAGAATAACATTTTCTGAAGAAACTTGAACCAACGATTTAGTCTTCTTATGATGACGAATGCCCTTAAATTATGATTTTCCGAGAAAATGCAACTCGCAGGCAAATTTGCCTGCGAAACGGTGTAAGGGATAAGAAAATTTCCTTTGTTATGTTTATATCACTGGCGCAAATAAGTATACGCATTTAAGGTTAGGGATTAGCGAGTGTCAGATCGATCAAAAAAAAACTTTGTTAGAGCACTAGGCGATTTTTAATAAAGCGGTGAAATTTCCAGATCGTGTTACGTTACACCTGATCTTAAGATCTATTTCGTAGTTCGCTTTATGGAAGTTGATAGTTTAAAAAATATTTGATTTCAATGTGCTACTTGATTATGCACGGAGCAGACCATCTCTACAGAGTTAATGTAACGTATAATTAAGCAGGTATATTAAGTAGCACATTTGAAATCAAGCATTTCTTAAATTATCGATTTCAATAAAGTATTTATGTACACACTTTATTGATTCCAATAATTTAGGAAATAATTTGTTTATACTTGTCTCTATAGGGAGATTGTGGTTTTTAGATTTCTTGCACTGTACGTACGTACGTACGTACGTTCAATTTTATTTAGAGAGACACCAATATTTTGTTTTTGATGCATTTTTAATAAAAATATCAAAAATGTAACTGCCTGTTGTGCATAATTATGTAACACAAATCTCGTGTAATTCGCTCTGGACTAACGTCTTAGTAATACCTTTTAATGAATTATATGAAATTGATTGACTGAGCTTATTTTTAATAAACAAACTTTTGATTTTACGTATATTTATGTGTACTATTTTAACTATGAATTTGGTATTCCGAACTTAAACCTAATTTGAGTTCAATTTTTGGATGCTGAGCTTAAATCAAGAATAGTTGGTACCATAGAGTAAGATTTCATTTTGTTTTCCACAACTCCAGCCAATTAAAATTGTTTAATAGTTTTAATTATTCAAAAATTCATTAATGGTAGAAACACAACCAGGTTCCATTGTGTAAACACTAAATGAAATCAAATAATATTATTTTTTTAGCAGAATTTTATAAAAAAGAAGAAAATATACTGTATAAATAATTACCTATGCCCAACGTTAGGAATCCTATGAAATTGTGTATTAGGAATTTCGCGATCAAGCAATTCGGCTGCATCAATAGGAACGAGCTCATCAATTTCACCATGAATTATCAAAGTTGGAACTTTAATTTCTTTTAGCCTTGAAACTAAGTCAGACTGTTTGATTGCTTCCCATTGACGTTCTACAAAATATATAACTTTAGTATCAATAAATATATACTTGTTATTGCATGGATATGTAGTGAATAACTGTGGCCGAAGGCCACAGGTTATTCATATATCCATACAATAACTATATTATTTCACGGTGTCTGACGTACAATCCTGTGCAATAACCAAGTAAAAAAAGCACAGGTTGTTACATAAGACCCGTGGAATAAATATGTATACGTACTAAAAATTTCAAATGGACGGTTAGCATTAGTATTAAGTTTGATCTTCGCAATTTTATCAAGTTTATCAGGATGTTCAAGTAGATAATCTGATAAATTCTTTTCTCTATCCTTAAGAAGCGCATCTTTTTGTTCTTGAATAGTTTTAGGACGATCCATTATTGGTAATTTACAAAGCTGTTCAAGATCTCGATCTTCTTTGACACGAGCAAACCTTTAATAGAAAATAAAAGAAGTTAACTCCATATACATATTATAAATCAATCTGGCAATCTATGTATGTACCCTGAGCAAATAATTAATTTCTCAAGCTTAAGATCTGATGGAACGTTCAAGGCGGCACAAAGTGCTATATTACCTATAAAATTTTTTATATTTAAGTTTGGAAATTAACAACTTTAAGTCCATATAAAGTTAATTGTTTCTCATAACCCGGCCAGGTCAGCTTTTCTAAAGTTTTGGTTATTAATACTTCCAAGTTAGTTTTTTAAAAAAATTTAGAAGCCTTTTAATATTTTTTTGGGGGCAAAAAAGCTTATAAAATTTTTTATAATTAAAATTAAAAGCCGGCCGGGGGTCGCTTTTAGAATTATATGTTATGAGAAACAATGATTTAACTTTGTATGGCCTAATTAAAATAATCATTAAAAACATTATGATTATTAAAAAGGATAATAAACATTTAAATTTTAAACATTACCACCCATAGACCTTCCAAATAAATTAAACCTTTTAATTCCAAGATGTTTAATTAATTCAATTGTATCCTGAGCCATCAATTCAATCGTGATAGGGTCATCATAAGAAGCAACAGTCGATTCTCCAATTCCACGATTATCAAATACAATTACTGATAAATAATCAATTTGAAAAGTAATTAGCATCTTATATATTATAGTAAATCAAAGAAGTATCATAAATTATAAACATAAAATCGTGAAGCCTTAAACCCTGAAAGCTAATAATATAAATATGACCTTATGTGCAAAATTTTGGCACTTATAACTCAAAATTTCCATATTAAGATTCCTATCTATAATAATTGTTAAATAATATTTCGAAATCATGTGTTTTCCGATCAAAATTGCTTAGTATAAAGGAATATATGTGATATTTTAAATATTCATATAAATCATATGTGACTGAAGTTAGCACCTGACTAAAGTTGCATTTGACTGAAATCAGTTCTCCATGTACGCATTAGTTAGCAAATTTAAGCGGGTGTCAACTGAAGTTGCAACTTCAATCGAGTGCTAATTTCAGTCTGGAGCCAATTTCATCAATATTAGCGACTAACCTGTTTGGCTATTTGCTAATTCTAATAATAGTTCAAATTGGTTACATGATAAATCATATATACGTTTTTTCTAAACATAGCAAAAATGATTGTAATTAACCTTCTTCAAATCCACAAAAATGCTCTTTAGTGGCATCGCTTAAAATTTTAGTTTACAAATTACGGTTAAGCAAAGAATATAGCAAAATATTGTCATTGTTAAAACTGTAATATTACAATCCCACAATTAATATAAGTGGAATCTCATTTTTAATATTCGCAGGTTCAAGAATCTTGTATGCAATTTTTGATCCATCCTTTTGTTCGAAGAAACGAGTTTCAGACATATTTTGTTGCTTGTCACAATAAAACAATATACGTAAAATCAAAAGTTTGTTTATTAAAAATAAGCTCAGTCAATCAATTT